CACTCAAGTCGGTTACGACGACGAACTGCAGTCAGGTCGAGACCCCGATGAGGACGATGAGCATGCAGATGAGCTTCCCTGAGACGGTTTCTTACAGTTTGTGCAGAAATTCTTTGGTTATGCAAACTGATTGTTGCAGCAGCTGTCCGGGTGGCTGGTCTCAGACGGTCTTGGAGGTGAAGATGCTGGATGTGGAGGTCCTGGGCTGGTGTGGTTACACGTGGTCTGTGGTTGTGAGGCCGGTTGGATGTACTGCCAAATTCTCTGAAATGCCTTTGGAGACGGCTTATGGTAGAGAAATGAACATTCAATTCACGGGCAACAGCTCTGGTGGACATTCCTGCAGTCAGCATGCCAATTGCACGCTCCCTGAAAACTTACGACATCTGTTGCACATTTTAGAGTGGCCTTTTATTGTGGCCAGCCTAAGGCACACCTGTGCAATAATCATGCCGTCTAATCAGCATCTTGATATGCCACACCTGTGAGGTGGATGGATTATCTCGGCAAAGGAGAAGTGCTCACTAACACAGATTTAGACAGATTTATGAACAATATTTGAGAGAAATAGGCCTTTTGTGTACATAGAAAAAGTCTTAGATCTTTGAGTTCAGCTCATGAAAAATGGGGCAAAAACAAGTGTTGCGTTTATAATTTTGTTCAGTGTATATATATTAGGGATGCTCCAATCAGGATTTTTGCAGCCGATACTGAGTACCGATTTCTTGTCATGGTGATCGGCCGATACCGATGCCGATTCTGATGCTTCAAGCTTTATATAGACTGTTTGATCGGGCACACGCGCCTGGCCCGTAGTTAACTTTCGGTCTCTGTTTGTTTATCAGTCTGGTTATGGCGCCGGCTACAAACACCGTTAAAGTTAAGGTGATGAGTTGACTGAAGTTGGGCTCAGGTGGTTGTGCTGTGGGATGTGTTTCCCATACATTGATTTATTTGTGGCGCTCACCACAATATCAAAACTGAAGGATTTCCCAAAAGGCTGTTGAATAAACATGAGCACTTACTGCACGTTTAAAAATCTAAACGAGGCACGGGTGTTTTTATATCACTGTATTTCTGATGTCATTTTCATTTCATCTTGCATGTTATATGCCTCATAAAGCAGCGTTTGTGAGCTCAGCGCCGCTTTGTGTACAGCCATTACTGGGGAAACCTCTGTCTCTCCCGCTTTAAAGCACCTCCTGCTGGCAGAGAATTAATTTGCATTTTCAGTAAGTCCGTCTGATTTACGCAGCAAACATATTTAGCTTTTCCTATATCCACGGGTGCTGCGGATAATGTTTGTGAGCTCAGCGCTGCTTTGTGTACAGCCGTTACTGGGGAAACCCGTTTCTCCTGCTTTAAAGCAAAGTCCATCAACAGTAAATCCATCTGATTTATGCAGCAAACTTATTTTGCTTTTCCTATATCCACAGGTGCTGCGGATAATCCGCGGGTCGGGTCATAAAAAATGTATTTGGATTATTTGCGGGTGGGTCGGGGGTGGATAAAATAAATCATAAATGTTGCAAATATTAACTACATTTTTTTTTTTTTTTTTTTTTCATGAGCCAGAAGATTTCGTGTGTGTGTTCGTTCGCCTGATCTGGAAGTTGCAGTGACAGAAACGGTGACATTCCAGATAAAGTTTGAAAGGAGTAAAGCCTGTGTTAATGCTATTGAGTAGGCTAATATGGCCAAAGAAGATATTTTGTTTTATAAATAAATGTTCATTTAAAAGCAGCCCACGATCAGCGTATTATGTTATGGTTATCCCTTACGGCTCCGATGAGGTTTTCTTCTGTCCTTCACGCTGTGACACCTCACAAAAGACTATTTTTAGCCAAGCAGCATGGAGAGCAGCTTCATTTTGTTTTGCTTGTACTAAGAAACTTCAGCAATGGGTGTATACCAGACATCAGGCCAGCCCATATATAAAATTAATGTATTATAATTAATGTAAATCATGATCATGGATATATAAATTTAAAACAGAACACACACACACACACATATATATATACACATACACATATACACACTCTGTTTTACATTTACATATTCATGGCTTGCATTTATAGATTCAAACTTATATATTCAGAAATATAACTATTCGTATTCATTTAATATAAGAGAATATATTCAGACCTATAATTGTATAACCAGATTTACAAATATTATTCAGGATTCAGAAATATATATATTTAAGTCAAAAGTTTGATGAAAAACTATTAAAAATGTAAAAAAAATATTCTTTAAAAAAGGTAAATACCAATACTACTGTATTGTTTTTATTTTGATTGTTAACCAATTATTGCAATTTAATTAGTAATTATTGATTGTTTATTGATATGAGGGTGATGATTATTCAAATGTTGCTAATTGTATAATTATATACTAATTATGAATGTTGCAAACAATTTATTGACATTCACACTGTACTGCCTGGTGAACAAAAACCTTTCCCACTCAACTAACCAAGCTCACATTCATGCTGTCATGGCCTTTGTGAGCGTCCAAGCTCTGCTCTGACTCCGCATGTGTTATGTGGAAGATATGGAAAGATAGGCTGACCCCACAGACAGGCTCGAAATGTCAACACTCATCCAAATCAACTGAAAATCAAACTCCCTGTCATAGAAAGAAACCAGTGACCATTACATTTCTCTGTTTTTTTAGATGGCGTTTTGAGAAATGTTTTTTTTTTTTTGAGGGAATCTTACCTTTGACTTCAATAGTGGCATTTGCCGCAGGGGCCGAATCGAATGTGTACACACACATATACTCGCCCGAATCCTCTGGCCTTGGTTTATTAAGTCTGCGTAAAAGATAAAACACATTACACTTTTAAATTGAAGGTACCATAGGTGTTCTTTGAAGTACCTTGGCATAATATAAAAAGATTCAGAGTAACACACCCACAGGTAAAGACAAATCTAATGCAGGTTATATGTTAGCAGTACTAGTGTGTTCCTAAATGGTTAGTCTGATTAGATTAGGAGTCAGGCAGAGAGATTAGCAACACGTGTTGACAGAGACAGAGGCCTTGCACAGGATTTAGAGCAATGCGGAGCAGAGCGCCATCAACAAACACTCAGCCAGAGCCTGAGAGTCACTGAGATAATACATTTACAAAACAAAGACCAACTCAGGTGATGCAAATCACTATATGATGCCAAATATATAACACCTAGAAGCCTATGTTGGAAGCCTACTTGTATTCTGTGCTCTTGGCTTCACCCCTTGTGTCAGAGATCTCCTCCCCATTCTTCATCCAGAAGCTCTCATGGTGGTTGTTTTGGGAAGTTGTAAGGTTGCACTGAAGCGTGATTGGTGGGATGTGGTAACCCATGGGTAGAATCATGTGATCCGTTGACTCAATTGATGGTTCTGGAAGCACAGAAGTATCGGTCAAGGCCAGAGAAATACTACATAAAAATACTACATAAAAATTAACAAAAAGATGATAAATTTATATATATATATATATATATATATATATATATATATTTATATAAAACATATTTAGAATCAAATGGTTCTGAGGTTGACCATTAGGACAAGATTATTAAACAGACAAAATAATTTTCTTTTATTAATAATTTTAATATTAAAAATTTATTTTATAATTTTCATATACTATATCCAGTGGGGTCCAAAAGTCAAAGACCACAAAAGGTCTTGTGGTCTTTTAGGATTTTGACATTTGAAAACAAAGTAACATTTTAATATAAAATATAAAATAAACGTCTCAGAGTCTGCAGACAAACACAAACCAAATACTAAATCCCAAAACAAAGTTCATTGTTATTATATCATAACTGATACACTAATATAGTTTTTGTTAATGTTTGGAACAGTGTTTTATTTTCAGTTAATGATAGTAACCCTGCTTCAGTTAAGCTTTTCACATAAAACATTCTAATATATTATGATAATATAATTTATACTGAATTATATAAGGAAGCATAGTGAGCTCACACATCTGGACTCCACTGTACATCATATATGATACAGTCCTATAGGATAGGAGTAGTACAACTATATCAGCCATTGGACATTGAAAAACATATATCGGCTGACCAGTAACCACTGTACCTTACCAGATTCCATGGATTCCTCGGAACAGAAACTGTATAATATTGTGTATAATTGTCATGGTCAAATAAGGAGGACAAGGACATTTTAAACTCAATAAGGGCTTTTGACTACAAAAATAGGTCACTGCCTGTATATGTAGCTGCTACTAGGGCAAGAGTAATCTAATAGGATGGTGCTCTGACCATTTTGTACTCTGGTTATAGACTACAACAAAAGAAGAGGAAAAAGGAAGATCACTACAGCAAATGCTGGCCATGGCACTACACTAAATTGAGGTCAAATCAAGGGGGCGGATGGTTTATTTTGGCCACACCACTAGTGGGGACAGTTTAACTCACTCTGCAACACGGAAACTGTTGCCTGGGCTCGTATCCAGGTAGTGGACGGATTCTGCCGCAAATCGTTACGCCGTGGGTCGTTACTGGCCCTGCACTCATAAATCCCAGAATCCTCGATGGTGACGCGAGTGACGGCTAACACGCTTACACCATTGACACCGTACGCTGTGTTGATGGACACGCGTTGCCTGCGCGCGCCATCCCACAACTGGAAGAAGCTGTCGGCCCTGTTCACCTCTGCGTACCACCACTGGATCTCAGGTGTGGGCTTACCCACAACGTCACAGTACAGCTCAAACGTGTCGCCCGTCAGCTTAGTCTCAGAGAGGGGCGACTTCACAAACCCCGCTGAGGGGAGGCACAGAGGCAGGAAGACAGGGAAACATGACAAATAAAGAGAAAATAGGACAGTAAGAGGGCAGTGGGTGGAAAACAGAAAACAGAAAAGATTAAACTCAAATTGTAAACCAAAAATATAACAAGAAATTAATAATTGCACAATTGATGAATGAGAAAATTAAAAAGTTCTTTTACATTACATGCATTCACATTTAGGACACTGATACATTTTATTTCTGATTTTGTTTCTATTATGTTTGATTGCATAGTACTGATTATTGCATTTTGTTAGTGATCTTAATGGAGTTGTTCTTTACCATGTGCAAAAAAAAAGATCTTGGACAAAAGAGTTATTTATTCAATTGTATATATATATATACACACACACAGTGGGTACGGAAAGTATTCAGACCCCCTTAAATTTTTCACTCTTTGTTATTGAAATGAGGTCAGGGCCTCATCCTAACCGCAGTAATGTAAAAACTCTGATATGACCTATATTTTATCATGATTTTTCCATCTTAAAGCACTGAGTTTTAAAATTCTGTTCAACATTGAAAACATGGCTTAAAATAATAATAATAAAATGAATATATTAATATATTAATGTTAAGTCTCTTATTCTCACCAATGCTGTATTTATTTAATAAAAAATACAGTAAAAACAGTGGCATTGTAAAATTATTACAATTTTAAATAAAAGGTTTTCTATTTTAATAAATGTAATTTATTCCTGTGATGGGAAAGCTGAATTTTCAGCATCATTACTCCAATCTTCAGTGTCACATGATCCTTCAGAAATTATTCTAATATGAAACATTTGTGCTAATATATATATATATATATATATATATATAATAGAAACTAGATTTTTTTTCAGGATTCTTTGATGACTGTAAAGTTCAAAAGAACAGCATTTGAAATGTCACTTTTGAATAATTAAATACATCCTTGCTGAATATACAGTGGGTACGGAAAGTATTCAGACCCCCTTAAATTTTTCAGTCTTTGTTATATTGCAGTGAATCATAAACTAGAGGAAATAAGCATGTACTTTTAAATATCCAATAAAAACAATATTTGGTTTGTCACACTGGAAATGGAAAGTCAGGTCAAGGCAAGTGCATTGCATTGTGGGGTATAATTTTGTACTGCACATTTTAGCAAATTTAGTACTTCCTCTGGGTATTCTATACACATATGTGCATACTGTGCATAGTATACATGCTACATATTTATGCAGAATGCCAACTAGTATGTCAGTCTGCTTTTCCGACCATAACTGGTTTGAAGATAATGCAAATTATTCTGCAGAAAACACAAAGTGCACAGCTTTGAACGGTGCTGTCAAAATAGCACTCTGATTCCGAGCACCTCAGTGCAATCTCACTATTCATGTGTGGGTGGGCTGATAGACAGGCGGTTTCCATAGAAGCATACTACAGTAGTTGAGCAGGTAGGCCTTTAAGAAGAGGGAGAGCTGCCTACCACACTGCATACATGTCTGCTGCCCCCTCATTAACTGCTGTGTAAGCTGACTGCATTCACAGATATGTAGCCCTGCTAAGTGTTAACAGTCATATAGTGCAATAAGTGTTTGTTGTGTGCATTTCACAATACAGCAACATAGGAACAAAACCGGAGCAGAGACTGAAGGAGTTGATCAATTAACACTTTTTTTTAATAAAAAAAAAAAAAAAAAAAAGACAATGCATTAGAGCACATTAAAAAGATGTCAAAAGCTAAACTAAAAAGTATTAAGATATAAGCATAAATAAATTCTGGAAAAAAAAACATGATATTTGAACAAATGCCACTGACAGGTGTTTTGTGAAACTAAATGTTTTATGCACTCAAAGCATCATACTAAATGATAATAATGTGTATACATATAAAATATAGCTATATTGTAATTTACTGGAGTGTGACTTAAATTTATAAATAATAATACATATGCATATATAAATAACTATTTTATGATTTATTTTGATGTTTTGTTTGCATTTCTATTTTTATATATCTACCCTTGTTTTAATGTGGACACTTGCAACATAAAACTTTGTATTTCACATATAACCTTCAAAAGTCAAAAAGTCTAACAGAAGAGAAAAATATAAAACAAATGTGACGACTACACTAATCATTTATTTAGATTTAAGGATGTATTGTGGAATCAGTCGTTCAGTTGAGTGTAGGAAGAACAGACAAAAAGATCAACAGCACAACTAATACTAAATGTTTCCTTTGAGGTTATGTAACAAATATGCAGAGAGGCTTTTTACTAGTTTTATCTAGTAATTGTATTATCATGTTAATCAGAACATGGTATTAAGTAAGTTTACACACAGTAGCCTACTGCTGGTTATTCTGATAATGACCTGATAATGTGATGATAAAACAATCATATAAGGGCATAATGAGAAATAAAGCAGGGCCAGATATGATTTTTACATCTAAACAGACTTCCTACTCCATGGGTGATAGAATGCACTACATGCTACATTGATAAAAACAATTATAGAAACATGTTTTCTTTTGACGTGATGATCGCAAAAGAGCCTCACAGTAATTAGGAGGCGTAACTAAACGAGGAGCTCCTGTTCCACATTCCTGTGTACCTGAAAGGAAACTAACATAGTGCCTGACCTTCAAAACTAACAAGCTTCCAGCAGATTCTTTAAAGTCAATGTGTATTTCAATCCATTTTATTAACGTAATCTGACGCATTCAGCTGAAACAGAAAAAAATGTGTAAGGAACAATAATAATAAATAAAAAAATAAAAAAGGGTAAATGTTAACATTAAAGGTTTAATTAAAAGTAGGAATATTTAAATTCTATAAGTTCTATAATATTTTGTCAAAATAAATATAAAATAAAACACTAAAAGCAAGCATTGTAAAATGCTGCAAGTGAATTTAGGCATAACAACCTTATTAAAAGTATGAAAATGTATTTTCATTGTAAGATTTGCTAAAAATTGCATTTAACAGTGCCATTTCATTGTTAATGTTTTATTATATTATTTTTCAATATTATTTTACTATATTACTTATATTTTAATATAAAATTATACATTATAATTTGTTATATATTTTACTTAAGTGCTATTTTAATTATTAGAATTAAATGTTTTTATATTTACTTTTACTGTAAGTGAGCATTAGATGACATTAAAGATACTGATGGACTGATACGGATTAATTTAAAAATCTCAAAAATTGATATGATACCAATATACGGTGCACCCCTACTTGAAAGGTGTCTCCATCAATGTAAGTGCATCTAAGCTTCAGGAACTAATGAACATATGTGGACGGGCATGTATGCTCTTGCATATAGTCACTTGCTAAAGATAGAAGCAAAAACCTTGTTAGCCTAAAGGCAGCAAGTGCTGTTATGCTCTTATGCCTGTAACCAAAGACAGCTATGCCAAAATGATCCATTTGATCAAATGTGTCTGCGTGTGCTCATGCATTTGTACGCAAGAGATAAAAAGCGTGTGAGTGAGATGAAAGGAAAAGTGTCAGGTTTGATCTTCATATGATTTTGTGGCCCCTCACAAACAGGCAATGGCCATAACAGTGGGTTGTGACCCAAAAATGGACCCCAGATCTGTTCTGAGAGGGTTGCCGACAGCAACAATGATAAATGCAAATTATAATTTTACAATATACTCATGCCCAGGAGAGTAAAATAAATAGGTTTATCAACTTCTAAAATAAGAAAACACTTCCCATATCTTTAGTTGTTGACATCCAAGAGCATGCGTCCAAACAGTACAGAATTTTGGCACAAATTTAAATGTCGCTTGTTAGAAGCTAGTCGAATCAGGCAAAAATTACACAAGATGAAAGAAAATGATCCAGACTACGTTAAAGGAATAGTTCATGCAAAAATGAAAATCTTCCAAAAACTGACTCACCCTTCGGCTATCCAAGATGTAGATAAATTTGTTTTATTATCTGAACAGATTTAAAGAAATTTAGCACTACATCACTTGCTCACTAGTTGATCCTCTGCAGTGAATGGGTGCCATCAGAATGAGAGTCCAAACAGCTGATAAAAACATCACAATCGAATGCTGCAGTTGTTTATCAATTTATGAGATGCAAAACATTCAAGCATCATTAAGTTGTTTACCACAGACCTTATTTCACTCATAAATTGAAAAACCCCATTAGAAAAACCCATGGGAAAATCTCAAGGGAACCAGTGGCGAAGTAGTCTTGGTTGCTGTCACGGCTGCAGCACTCTATAATCCACAAGACTCCAGTCTAGGGCTGCACGATAAATCGAAATGGAATCGAGATCGCGATTCGACAGAAGCTGCGATTGTCATGCGTGTCTTTCAGTGAAGCAGGGTTCTGTGATCAGTAGTAAATCTCCATCCAAAGGCCAGAGGGCGCTCTCGCGCTGAAACTCCAAATACGCCTCGCAGAAGAAACCCAGAAAATGCCTATCGCTGCAGCTGAATAAACAGAAGATTTATGAAGTTTTTATGAAGACATTATGAAGTGAGTTTGGAGTAAAAATATGTTATTAAATGTGGTATTTTCACATGCTTTCAGATGGAGCAGCATTTACTACACAGAGCCGTAGTTCACTGAGAAGCTATGCAAACAGCTGTCATTATCGC